TTGACTTACATAAAAAAATTGCTTTCATAAAAAATAATAAACGTTAAATAAACGAAAGGGAAATAGCTAAAATGTCTCTTCCCTATTTATATTTTCGCCATGTAGACGAAGCAGGTTTGCATGATTTTTAATTAGGCAAATCAAAAGTCCAAAAATAAAATTGATTTCTGAATTGAAAGTTGTATTGATTATTCGACGAATCAAATCATGAATAAAATTTATATGTGATTTATTTATTTTATTTATTTTTGATTTGGTAAATGAATCAAATCATAAATCAATTTTATTTTTTATTTGTACGACGTATCAAATCACAAACAGTGTTCTCAATTAATAGCGGATTTAAAATCAGAAATTATTTTAAATCAAGCATCCCTGGATTAAGTTGCTATTTGGTAACCACTATTTTACCCGCGCAAAATCTTGCGTAGAATAGCTTTATCATAAAAAGTCGTCAATAATAAAAGCCTTTTATGTATATATAAAAGTCTTGAATAACTTTTATCTAAGATACATAATAAAAAAAATCAAAAATAGCTGTTATTTGCAGATTATTCAGAAAAAATCAAAAAAAAAATTGCCACTTCGGATTTATGTATACAATTTAAGAAGCAACTACATAAAAGTAAAAAATAATAATTATTAAAGAGCGATTTTTATAATAAAAGTTCTAACTGTTTCGGTCCCTGGCCCTTAGGTTTGAGAAGACGAGTTCAAAAGATCCCCACATCTTAATTATTTGCAACCAACTTTTAAACACTCCGTAAAAATAAATGTTGCCAAGCGTTTAGCAAGTAGAATATCTTTTCACTTTCTCGTATGTATTCGTAGTTAGATAGTGGAAGGCGCATATAATGCGTTATTGTCCCTATGAGTGTTATTTTTACACATCCACCCAGCCATAGGACATTTCAAGAGAAATTTTCCTAAGTAAAAGTCTAAATAAAACAAGCATTCAACGGATACTCTTCGTCTCAAATACCATTTACCTAAGAAATTCGGGCAATAACAATGCTCTTTATAGTATTTATCATATATCCCCAGAGTATATATGTGTTCAAAAATAAATGAAACATTTTGACCTTTTTTTTTATAAGAAAATATACTTATTTTATACTAAAGATGATTGCCTCATCTAACACCAATGGCTTCACTTAAATATGCCAACCCATCATCTGCGGCTTAGCCTTCGACTGTTTACTGCCATATTACATACAAACATTTATGTATGTATAGTAGACCCTTATTGAGGCAGTAAGTGGGCCTTTTTTAACACGCAAATACATACATACATATGTATGTATACATTTACAGTAAAAATTCTTACACTTATAGAATCTTATGTCTCATCACCTGAAAACTATCGACCCAACACTGTCCGTCGATATTTCTTCTCACCATTCCTTCTTTCTCGGAATACACCGGAAAATCTACCACACCGTCAACTTAGTATGTATGTATGCTTGTGTGCGCATTTATATGCCCACCAACACTTGAACTCAGCATAAAGTGTTGCATACATTCTGCACACCCAATTGACCCACAAAAATGAGACTCAGCTACAGAGATTGCTACAAAATTCTGCTCTTACTCTTCGTATTAACCATGCAGTAAAATTTAGAGACAAGCTGACAAAGCGCTAGTTCCGAACAACATATATATGTCAGAACTATCTCTGAACTAGTGCAAAACGGATGCAGAGTGGGACAGTTGAAACTTGCGGTGTAAATGTGCAAATGCTCACTACTCGTACAATACGAAAGTAGCTCAGCGAGAAGACCTCCGACTCAAGCCTCGTCGGTCGCGAGTTCAAATCGCGGTGGAGGTAGTTGTGAGTTTTGAAATTTAATGAATTTAAGTGGTTGCGTGCAGCTCACAATAATTTATTTTTTTATAATAAAATAGCTAACAAAAATGGAACCTGTAACAGAAAAGGAAAAAACTAAAAAAAAAAATTCCACAAATCGAATTTTAAAAATGTTTCTTAAAAAAAAAACTGTCCAAAACGGAACCGGTTAAAACTAGTTGCAAAGTATTGCGCCAATGTTATCGCCGTGTAAAAGTGGAGAGTTAAAAGCATTGCTTATTATTGAGCTAGAACTAGTACTGATGGCAAAAGGTTCTACGCTAGTTCTGAGCTAGTCAGATTTTCTGCAGGCAAGAAGTACTCGTGTGTTTGTACGAACATATGTATGTAGAAATGCAGGTATGTACGAGGACTTTTACACAAGCAAAAAAACACAGCGAAGAATAGTTGAACAAATAAACTTTCGCTTTACATAGTAAG